GCAACCCAACCACATGCTTCCTGCCCTGATGGAGGTTACGTCCAGTGAGAAGGCAGAAAAGCAACAAAACCCACTAAATGGGAAGAGACAATTGAAGCCAATGCAATGATGAAAGTCGTGAAGAAACCGAGCATCAGGAGAAAAACCAAATTCTTCCAGTGTCTGCAGTTGTCACGACGTGTGTGACACACAGCGGGTCCTCAGCCATGACCATTTGCATGTATTTGGGGAGGTGGACGCTGTAGGGAGGGGTGTGCCCAAAGCTTGTCCAAGGAGCTGCTATTTGGATGGAAATCTGAAGACGGAGGGCCCGCAGAGTGATGGAGGAAGGCTGATGTGGATGGTGAGAAGGCACAAGCTGGGGACCCCGGGTTGTTTGAAGAGCTGTGGAATCAGAACTTCTAAGGTTGAAAATGGAAGGGAAAGGGGGTTCAGAAACGAGGACCATGTGCTGGGGTGCACAGGCTTCTGGTGGAGAACTCAGACTTTATGTGAAGTACACAGGGAGACGACTGGAGGCTTGATAAGTCAGAGTTCACTAGGGATGGCCCAAGTCTCAGCGTTTAGGGTTAGCAGTCCAGAAGGGTGCTATGTGATCTTGAGACTAAAGTGGTCTTGTGTGTGAGTTCAACACTGGCTTTCTTCCAACCTTGATCTTGCTCTCAACACCTGCCAGGATCCATAAACCTGATTTTCAGAGAAGGAAGAAAGGAGACCCCCTTCCCTGTTCATTGTGGAATCCACCCAGAGCACAACGAAGCCATTCTTACCCAAGTGCAACACTGAGTCACAGCGCACCTTGGTTTCAACTTATGTGTCTTGGACTGGCAGATGTCTCACCCATGAAGGGAAATCCACCCTAAATGTAAGAGGATATGATTAGGAAAAAAACCAAAACAAACCACCTTTTAAAAAGAAAGGTGTAAAAAATAAAAGCTGTTAGCATCAACTTGAACTCCAGATATCTGGAATGATAAAGCTGCTTACAGGCTCATAAAACAGCTACAGCTCAAGGTTATGTGAAACAAAGAAAATACCCAGCTTTGCTCAGCTGTTTCAGCTGCCTGATTATTATATTTTTAGCCTCAGTGCACTTGGGATTCTGTTTTATTTACAGTTACAAGGCACTATGGTATGCATTGAGCACCCTTCACTCTGAAGTCCCAGTTACATTCCTTTTCTTCTGTATCTGAGCCCAGTTTTCTCTGGTGAACCCTCCCTGCCATTCTCAGTGCTTGTGACTTCTGGTAAAGCTTCCTTTATCTCAATTTCCCAGGATGGGGCAGGTGGCTGACACCTGACTAGTCAAAGTAGTGTTTCCAGGAGCTATGCTTATTGAAAGCTCTTGTTAGAAGCAATGACATGAAGTCTGTGGGGTTTGAAAAGGTTACTGGAACTTGGATGATGCAGGGCTGAAGCTGCTTGCAGCCACTTTGTCACCATGAGGAGCCCAAGAATGAAACACACATTCATGAGGAGTATGAAGCAGAGCTTAACCAAAAAAGGAAAAAAAAAAAGACCCGATGGCACCATTTAATACTTAAAATTTTAATTATAAAACCTACTGTTTTATAATTTTAAAATTAATTTTAAAACTTGAAAAATTATATGTGGTCATTTTATGCTGTACACACACAGTAGAATACTTCTCAGTCTTGAAAAAGGAGACCCTGTCAGTTGCAGAATTATGGATGGACCTGGAAGACATTGCACTAGGTAAAATAAATCAGACACAGAAGGGCAAATACCTATGATATCACTTACGTGAAGAATCTAAGAAAGCTGAACTCATAACGGCAAACAGCAGGACACAGAGGAAGGGAATGTGGGCTGGGGACAAATGACATTATTGACCAGGTCCCTGGATGCAGCCGTGCCTCTATGATTTGAGCTTTTTATTATTTATTTGTTTTTAGTGTGTGTCAGATAGTGAGTGGATTCAGGTGGTCTTGGGAAGTTTTAGATCACATGGGGCTCCCGGAATACTTCACTGCAGAGACCCAGAGGGAGACCATCTTTCCCTGCTCCTAGAGCCCATCTCGTTGTCTCTGTGGACCATGGCAGGGGAGGGGCAGGATCAGGAGAGAACATTATGCCAGTGCCCACCGGGCTCTCAGATGGCCCTGTGTTGTCACTGAAGTCAGCCCCCCTGGTGATCACAGACACCCTTTGTGTGTTTCAGATGTTTTCGATCATAAATCCACATCTTAGTTCTTTTATTTTCATTGTTGTGCTGGGTGGGGGATTATGGCATTTACAAAAGTTCTTACAGCATGGTTGAATTCACCCCTCCACCATTCTCCTTCATCCCTCTCTTTCCCCGTTCCTGGAATAGTTTTGACAGTCCATTTTTCCATTTATATGCATGTGTGCACAGAGTTTGCCCCATATTCACCCCTACACTCTCTCCCTACATCCTCCCTGGGGGTACCAATGCCCCAGGTATCATGCGCTGTGTGTCTGGCTGCCATAACTCTGAAAGGAAGCCACACTTGGTCAAATTCCTTTTCTAAGTACCTGAGGCGTTTTGTTCTTGGATCCCTCTGTCTGTGTCTGGTGTTAGGGAGGACTGTGCACTCACCAGCACCTGAAACTGAGTGAGGAAAGCAAACAGGAGTTGGGTTTGTCCCTGTGCTCAGCAGTGACAACCACGCTGCTCAGAAAGTCAGCTCAGGTTGTAGCCACCAGCACATGAGCATGGGTGGGGAGGCCTGGGGACTGCAGACTCGAGGTTGCACCCAGGAGAAACCAGGCTGTGACTAGCAGGGTTTGCAATTTGAGGCTACCTTCCCAGGCTCCTGAGACTGTGCCTCCTTGGGCCACTTATGTGCTCTGCCATTTGAGCCAAGTCTCATCACTCCTGGCAGAAATAACCAGGTTGGTGAATCACCCAGTGGGAAGACCAGGAAAAGTGAGCTTGGCTGCATTGCTGGAGGTCACTTGACTCCTGACTGCACACACACACACCACACCACACAGAAAGAGAGAGAGAGAGAGAGAGAGAGAGAGAGAGAGAGCGCCCAGTCTGCACCACACTGTTCTCTAAGTAGATGCTAATCCATTAATTAGCTGGTGTGCAGTTGTTAGTGATTGCATACATTAGTGATTCTATTTATGCATGGGGGTATTTACATATCCATGAACCCTAGTCTTTCCATTTAGCTATTAGAGGGGCCATTGCAATTATTTCCCGTCTTAGAGTCGGCAAATCATAAGTGGCCCTTTTCTTCCCAAATCTTGAACCTCAGTAGAGTTGTGGGAATACTTTTGTCCATCCGTGAATTATTTTAAGAATGTATGAAATGATTTAAAATGGGATAGGGACTGGATTTGTGTCTGGGAGTAAAATAGAAGGAAACAGAGAAAGAATCTGTTCTTGTGGAGCTTAAAATTTAGGGAGAGATGGATATACACAAATCAGTGTGTTTGAAACATCAGATGGTTATGAGTACAATGATGATTTCAGTGAAAATAAACTATGAATTAAAATTCACTGCTAGTGGGTCCTTGTGCCTAAGAGGACAAAATGGCTTTCCAGGAGAAAAGCTGAAATCTGCATAGTAAGGGAGACACACGTAAATATCAGGGGAAGTATTCCTAGCACAAAAATGTGCTGGTGCAAAGGTCCTGGGGCAGAAACAAGCCTGGAGTGGGTCAGGAGCCAAGAAAGAGGTCCTGTGGTTGGATTCCAGGGGACAAAAAGAAGAGCAGCATGAGACGAAGATGGAGAAGTCAGAGGGGATAATCCCAGGCAGCACTGTGCACACTGGGGGCTCGGTCGCTCTCTTAGGGGTCTTGCTGTGCCTTTAGAATGTGTAACTGCATCCCCAGCCTCCACCTATCAGCCTCCACCTCCACCTACTCCAGCCTCCACCAGCATGCCACACTTCCCCCATGTGAAGGCATGATTATCTGCAGCCATTGTCCCTCCAGACACAGCAAAATCTCCCTCCACTGCGAACCTTGGAAGTAGACTTGCAAACTTGCAAGAGGCTTGGGTTTGGGTCTAGGGACCATGGAAAGCCACCAAAATGTTTCAGTAAGGGAGCGTCATGATTTGATTTGCATTTTGAAAAGATCGCCGGGTCTGCAATGGAGCATGGGTTGCAGGAGGACAAAAGGAGGAGGAGAAAAATATACCTGTTTTCAGGAGGAAGTTACCTGAATGCCTTCATGGAAGCCAAGTCCATCAGATACCAGGGCTTTGGTGAGGTTGGCAGACCTTGTTCAGGGACCAGATGGGGGGTAGGGAGGGAAGGAGAAGATGGAGGGCAGTTCCTAGGTTCTTTAATAGCAAATAAACTCTCCTCCCCCCTGGAAGGCTGAAATGAGGGCAAACAAGGATATATATTACACTCATTACAAAGCGCTCTAATAAATGTGTACACAAAATGTTTTGGCAGAGCTGAGGAGAGAGTGAATAATTCTTCCAGGGGAAGTCAGGGGAGGTTTCTCGGAGGCTGTCCAGGCTTTTGACGAATAAGCAGGTTTTTCCTGAGTGGAGAGGTAACTCAGGTCTACAATGGGAGGGGTTCCTGGGATGGAATCTTCCAGCATTTCACACTGCTCCCAGGAAAGCTGTGTCCAGAATGCCTCTGTCCTTTGTTCTGGGTGGGAAGCCTGGGTGAGTGGCCTGGGTGAGCTTTGAAAAGATTGGTTTTTAAATTTATGGGACCAAAGCATTTTTTTTTTAAGTTCACTAAAAAGAACACAATGGTCTTATTTTGTTTTCCTTTCAAAGATGCATGTGTATCGGAAGAATATTTGCACAATGTGACTAGATGACTGCTTTCTGGACCATAGTAGGCATAAAATCTTACAGTTCACTAATAGCAATAAAATTTTATGAAGAAACCAAGAGGTAG